AATTCACAACATTTCAAGTATATATAGCATAGCTTTTTTACAGTATGTTTTCTGGAATAATATTGTAATTTTGCAGGCTTGTCTTGTATGGATAGGTATTACGTATATGTTTAGGCGCCTGGCGATACATAATGCGCTTGAGTATCCACGGACTAAATAATTCTACGTTTCGGATTTTAAAAGTTTCAACCGTCGTCCGTCACTTCGCCACTCTCTCGCGTCAGAGGCATCCAAAAGATTGATAGCCTCCGACACCGAGCGCAAACATATTTGTAGTCTGAGGTGTGATACTGTTGGGTAGTCTGAGGTGTGATACTGTTGGATAGGCTGTGCTGAATCGGAAATCCCCGTGTTATTTCGAGAACATAGCCGCAACCCGTCAATGGTATCTCTACGTGCGAAATCGTACGTACACTTCTCCATAATGAACAAGTCACAAAAACGTGCATTGATAAATCCAATCTATTATCTGCATTCGGCTAATGGGGTTAAAATCCTAGATTTGAAAAGATGGAAGTACTACTTTTTGAATATTTACCAACCTAATTTTACCCTTTGTTTTTATATTGAAGAATAAGAAGGGAAAGGATAATAGCAATAAGAAAGTTAATAGCAATAAGGAAGTAAACTCAATCCCTATGACGCCAAAGGCGTCTTCAAACCAAACTAATGATTGGAGAACTCTATTCACCCGAGAAATTATCTCACGAAATAGTCCTCGAATTTTATTTGCACGATGCCGCGATTATTTACGGGTCATAGTCCTGTTCAGTAATTATTGGGGCAACTAATCCATCATGTTCAAAATTTGATGCGGCTTCGACGTCGAACTTGCGCCGTATTCCCGGAAGGACGTTACGGAAGTTATGACGAAAAGTAATTTGCATTTTAGTTTCATTATAATGGATTCAGTATGTTAATATAAATATTGTAAAACATTTGTGTCCGTTGATAATTTGTATACCGATTGAATATCTGTCATATTAAAAAAATTGTTTTAACGGATATAATGCTGAAAATATGTCAAAATCTTATTTCGAGGTGAATGTATTTTAAGTATAAGTATAAGTTTATTTCGACTCCATAATCAGCATAACAATACATTTGACAGATAAAAACAAATAAATAAAAACTGATTATGAACTCAGGGGAGCAAACAAAACCTTAGATGAGGTTTATAACGTACAAAATATAAGATGGAAGGTTTTGCCAAGAGGAAGTGGTACGTGTTTACTCACCTAAAATTATTAAGTTATTTCACACACGCTCACATGCACCCACCAGCCACACACACACACAACCACTGAGAAGTTATTTAATTAAGAATAAAACGCGATAAATTTAGGGTATACTATACAGTAAACAAAAATAAATAAATAAATACTAGAAAAGAAAAAAATTATCTGCCACACCATATTGATATTTTTGTAATGGTTGCCATTGCCAAATTGATTGATCTTCTAATCGTTAATTAAGATATAAAAGGAAGATTCTATTGAAAACATATTGCCAAGCTGATTATAGTTGGAGTCAAATGCCAAGTTGCCCAACCCAAGTTGCCAGAATTGGGTGCATGAAGAGGTGGGCGAGACTATTTCATTCCCCAAATTAGAGCCTATTATTGCCAAATTATAGTCCAGATTGTAATAAGTAATTAAAGTTACCGGTAACAGTAAAATTACTATAATTAAGTAAAGTAGGATGTGGAAATGAATTGGTTACAAAGGGTGTAAGTGAGGTTTTTCATTCTTGGGTATTGATTTCAGACAAGGATATAGGAATAAAATCACTCACGTTTTTCAAGGCCCCCAAAGACAATTCTTCAAATGAGTGTTGTACTACATGCAAAGGTTTGTCTGTCATATATATCCAGAATCCAAATAGCTAAAAAAGTTAAAAAAAATCAAGGCTCATAACTGAAGTCATGTTTCGATACAGCACTTGCCGGATTCAACCCACGGGCACGGTCTTATGTTTTCAATCAGATACATTCAATTGTTACACGAAATTTCATGAATTTGATTATTCAAAATAGTCAATCAGAAAATTCACCAGCATATTGGTGATGGCCGATTCGAAATTTATTCACGTACCATCGTCAAATTACAACAATAGGCCAAGAGCTTATTCACAATACAAATTTTATAACAATAGACAATATATTTTTGAAAATTATACTGGTAATTACAAATACCTCACACGCATATGGTAGCTCTCACTATGTGAGTGAAATATTAAGCTTGGAATTCGAAGTAGAATCGAGCGATATTATGTGAGAAAGACAGTAAATTTCCTTCTGAGGGATTGTGAAGTATATATAGTGGTGGTCAACCTTGAACCCCAAAAAAGATGCTTGAGGAACCCTGGTACAATAGTTTAAATAATATGTAATGCAAAAAAAACACCATTTCGGTGATGAAATTAAAATACGCGTAAATCATATATTTCAGATATAGACATTCAGACATCATTTTTTCGTTTTTGCAGTACGTTATCAATTAGTTGCCAGCATGAATACTGAAATCAATGTTGTGCTGTTCTTAGTTTTATTTGTTTCATACTTCGAGCCTGGAGAAATGTGGAGCGCCAGGTCAAAACATGGTGCACCGTGAGTTGCTTCATTTATAATGATTCAAACTGAAGCTAAGTTCGATTTCCAAAATCTTTTAAACCATGCGTCAACGATTATTATATTGGTATAAAGTACTCTCAGACATAGAATTTCTGGTTCCGTTGAATTAATTTCTGCCCGGACAAATACAACGCTGACACTTGTGGTAATAGTAAGTAAATATGGTAAACCCCCTTGTATGAATTACAGAACGAGAACTCGAAGGAGTGCATACCCCCCACCAAGAGATATGTTGGAAGTCATGGTATTGAATAACTTGAATGAGGAGGTAACAGTTTAACTTTTATTCAAAGAAAAAAAGGAAATTTTGACTTGAATAGGATCAAGAAATGGAAACGTTTAGAATTATATTCCTAAGGCAAATGTGAAGTGGCAGCACTACGAACTATCCATTGAGTGAGAATATGAACAAAATTCAAGTAGGCCTGCAACACCTTCATCAGAGTGTAACAAACTGGGTTGGCTGAGCTTCACGGGGAAGATTCCAGTGCAATCTCTCAACTCAAACCATTCAGTCACATGGGCTTGAGAGGTAACGGGTAGGCTACAGAGTCCTAAGACGCAATTTTTGCTTAGGGCGTGTATAAAACTTCATACTTATAAAAACTGATGCCGTTACATAATAACAATCGATCTCTCTTGCTTTATCTGACACTGTCGGAGGTATTTTGTCGTAATTACTATTATATTTCATCGCAATTCATAATATATAATTTACGACTTCAAACCCCAAACGCCTGACCATGAAGACAACTTGAATGTTAACATTATTTTCTAGAACATGGAAAAAAACATGGACTCCCTTGTGCAACTTCAAAATGAGGTTGAAGGCCTCATAAAAGGTCATGAAAATAATTATGACGTCATCGACAAGTATGAAGAAATGAAGCAGCGAATTCGGTAGGTGAAGCGAGCTGTACATACCCGACGCGTCTATTTGTGCTTAGTGAGATAAGTATAGCAGTAAATAAATGTAGCAAACACTTTATGTAGTTAGTTAACCAAACTATATTTTTCAGATCTCCAATTCACTGAACAAACTATAGAAAACGAAGATTCGCAAAATTAAAAAGAACACATTCGACCAACAAAACTTGTATCTGAACGAGAGAAAAGAATAATTGAAACCCAAATAATATCTTCACTAAACCGTAGATTGTTTACATATTTACTCAGTTGTTACTGTATATTTCAATAAATTCTATAACAAACTAGTTTGTTTTCATGACTTACAAAAAGGTAGGTTTATTGGCGAGCTTGTGTAGTTTTTTTGTGAAAATTAATAAATTCGTAGACTATATTTCTGTTGAATTCAAAAATTGCATTTTACATTCGAATAAAATGCGCGACTCTGTATCAGATTTGATTTTTAATTCATCCTGAGAAGAGGAAAGCTTTCCAAACGGCTTAATTATATGGCAAACAACAATTTTACCTCTGGCTATCGGCTCATTACTCCAGATGAGACAAGGCACATAGCGGATAAATGTTAAGGCTCGGCGTATTAATATAAACAATGTGGTAGAATAAACGAAGCGACTGATAGTTGTCTCTGGAATGGGAAAGATCATTCACGTGGCGATTGGGCCATATATCCATTCCGAATAACTCATCTGCATGCTTGCAAATCTCACCTAAATTGGAGGTAGGGGCATAGCTTGAGGAACAAATATTTCGTCAGTGTCTTGAAGTTTTCGCTTCAGAATACCCCCACCAGTCTAGCGTACTACGAAAGATTTAGTTTGGAGTGAAGCAAATGAATATCAGCATTAATATAAATGCAAATCTATGAAAAACTTTTTGTTAAGTGCAAATCTCTCGACATGCACTCGTGATCTTTTGCGCCGAACACAGCTTGCCGCCTGAACTGGCAAGACTACAACCCAAAGCAAGATAACGCGAACAGCTGTCAGATTACAGCAGTGGTTCCTAATCTTTTTCGATAAATTAGCCTATGTTTATTCCTCTCTCTCACGACGCATGAATACTGTTCCCGTATTTGCACAATTTTTAATATATTCTTAGATAGTGCTACGCACAACTCCCACTCTGGCTTATGCATGGTTTGAATAGATGATAATATACCCAAAATACCAATTACAATAATTTCAAATACATAAACAGTATTTCTGAAACTACACCCAATAAAGAGGGATATTTCATTCCCAAGAACATCAAAATTCCGCCATTGTTGGGTTACGGTATTCAAAGAACGTCAAGCGCATAGGACAGGTGAATGAATGGACATGTAAGCTACCGTATCTATATTTCTAACTGGTGTACAAAAACGAGTTTACGTATTAAGCTTTCAAATCAGCCAATTCCCATTCACTTTAAATCCTATTGATACTAGAATACAATACAAATATTGAAGTTGAAAAGTTTTGTAAGCCTTTTTGTTTATTGGAACAATATCATAATTCAGAACGAAAATACATAACGTTTACGCAGCAGTATACTGGTATATGTGAAAAGTTTCAGCTCATAGAGTAGTTAAAATGCTCAGAAAATGTTTAGCTTACATTTAACAACATAGTACAGGCACAACTAACAGGTAAAAGTTTCAAAAACGGCACTCAGTCTGAAAGTTGAATTAATCCTATGCCATATCTTTTAAATCAAATCAAAAAATGGAAACTGCATGTGTAAATAAACAAACAGTAACCCAAATTTTGCCCTACCACTGAACATATATACATTTTTTACTGATTAATAGTTTGAAAGTAACTTAAAAAGGGCAGTCAATATTAGCAGAAATGGAACAAGGGTAAAGAAATTAAACTTGTATGGGTTCTTCAGATGAGAGAAATGTAGAAAAAAAAAAAAATATCTTAAAAAAGATTAATTTTCTACATCAAAAAACCAAGCAAGTTATTGGAAAGAATTCAAAAAGGGCATACAGTACAATGAAATATTAAGTTGACAATAGAAATATGGACTAGCACTATCAAGAAAACTAACGGTGCACAGAAACAAAAAGTCTTTCAAGTTCTTTTACTAGCTTCCCGTTTGATTTTCTCCAATCTTTGCTTTAAAGCTTCCATTTTAGATGTAGTAGCTGGTCGTGGAGGCAGCATGTTGGAGGCTGAAGTCACTACATTGGAGGACTCCAAGTCCACGCCTTTTGCCGATGGAGGGCCTAACTCATTCTTATTTCCATCTAGTTTGTCAGCACGATTCATTTCATTTGTATTTGTTGAAAGAACTTTGGTGTCTGATTTTTCTTGCGAAGTCGATTCCACTGGTAGGCCAAATTTGGCACGTAGCGTCCGAATATGTTCAATATGATCTTTTGCAGTCATTCGCTCACCCGACCATTTTAAGTTACTATCTGAATGTGTGATTCCTTTTCTACGATCTTGTTCTATGTCCTGAAGTGAACGATTAATATAGTCGAGAAAATAAGGCGGAACATTTCTAAAGCCTGCTTCAATATCAATATTCGGGTGTTGTTGTTTGAAGTCATATAGTTCCTGCAAACCTTGCTTTGTGAGATCATAATTACTAACTTTCTTGGCTATCAAGGACAATTGCACCTCAGGAGTTAAATTGCCATTAGAAACACCTAGGTTTTCCTTTTTATGAATCTCGCTAGATGATTTGGATTTGACAGGATGCGATTCAATCGCAGATGTTGGATGATTTCCTTTCAAACATTTGGTGATCACTTGGAGAAGATCAGATGATTCTATTCCAACAATATTTTGAACTTCATCAAGTACACCCAGTCCCAATATTTGACAGAATGCAAGCACCAATGATTTGAAAGTTTTCGAAATCGGGAGTAATTGTTTGCTTGTAAAAGCAAGCTGTATTTGATGCAAATCAGCTAGTACAATTGAAGGTTGTAATATAGGTCTTGGACTGTTTGATGCTGGTGAAATGAAATCTTTCATCAAGTAGATTACTTTCCAGATACATTTTTTATAGAGATCCATCTGTACAGTCCAAGCGTTTTCCAGAGAACAATGAAGCAATCGCAATAAAGCACATAAAACAGAAGTTGGATTCGCATTTGCTAGAAGATCAGCAAGAAGAATGTTCAGAATTGCTATTATTCGAACACCGTTTGGCAAGCCTTCAACACGTTTATCAATCATAAAGACAACAACCGCTTGGATGAAATCCTGAAGACAGCTCTGAGTTGCACAAACTGCAAGGACTGGGGTTTTAAAAATTGTAATATCAATAGATAAAAGACTCTTGTATAGTGACACAATTCCTAAAATTGCCTTATCTCTGTCATTTGATTCCACTGGAATATCATTAAAAAAACGAGTTGCAGCCATTCGAAATTGGATGCAACTTGAAGTTAGTATCTGATCCACTCTTGGCTTAAGCAGCTCACGTTTTTCCGTACTTTTCATCACTTCGTCGAGCTGATGAATCGATTTCAGGCAAGTATCAATATCACTGCTTGCGAGAGATGAAATTATAATATTTAAGGTGGAATCAATATTTTCACTTGATCTACTAGCTCTGAAATCATGTATTCCACTGACAAATCTCGGAGGAATTTCAACATCTGGTTCATTGAGTAAATCATCACAGTTTGTGTCTAAAAGTTCTGGTAATTTGAAATCAGATTCATCAATATCACTGATTTCAGCTATATCATGTTCCTTTTTTGTCAGAGATGAGGTATCACCAGTATATATTTTGGGCTTATCAGGAACAGCTTGCTTACTAGGCAATTTTAAGACTTTAGCTTCAACTTTCGCAGGAGCTTGTAATGGTTCATTTGAAAATTTACCAGATCGCTTGATTCTTTCCTCCAGCATGCTCATATTCTTCTCATTCAATTTGCCTACAAACTTGTACACGACATCACCACAAGTATTGTAAGCACACACCAAGACGTTGAGAGCAGCGGAGCGCACACTGTTGTCTCGATTACTAATATGAGATGCGACCTCTCGCAGCGCTTTGGTTGGTGTTGGCTGGCAGACATCAATGCCGATGGTGGTAATTAAATGACCAATCTCATCCAAGCATTCAGTTATTTGTCTTGAGTTTTTTGTTACAAGTCCTTGCATGAGATGTGAGAAAACCTTTCCAGCTGGATAAACTTTGGTAATTTGGTGCATAATAGCATGAACATCTTTTCTAATGTTCTCTTTTGTCTCACCAATCTTAGTGATAAGATGTGGTATGAAAGCGTAAGCTTCATAATCTGTGATTCGCAAATCAAAGCTGTCAAGTTTCACAAACACAGATTTCACGTATTCCAAACACTTCATATGCACTGTGGTGTTCTTCTCATAAAATCGTAAAGTTAGCCAGCGCAGTATCAAATCAAGCATACCAACAGTTTCATCCCACTGGTTTTCAAGAGCTTGTGTTAATAAATTTAATGCTTTCAGGTGATGTTGAAAATCGGCATGGAACAATTCAGCAAATAATCCAGAACCAACACATGGCGTCATCTGAGTTTTTAATTGCACTACAATTTCATCTCGAGGAGCATCAAATATCCATTTCAACGTTCTTAATTTTTGTTCATCTTTCATTCGTTGCTCTTTTCCATTTGGTATTTTGATCAATACAGGCCCAAAATCCCCATCATCCTGCTGTTTTTTAGAAGATGGAGCACGCTTTCCAGGCTTAGATGCTTTTGCTTTGGCAGAAGCTGTCTTTGCAGGTTTGTTTTCTTCCTGTACCACGGTTGGTGGAATCTCTATTTCGACTTCAACAGCAACAGGTTTGGCAGCTTTATTAGGTTGTTTGGACTTTCGTGCTGGTACAAGATCTTTTGCTTTTTCTAGTAGTCCTTGAATAGTTGACAATGAAGCTGGACTAAGTTTTCCACAAAATCTAGTCATTTTATCCATGCCAAGATGATAAATGAAAGCTGGAAGAGCAGCCTGTGCTTTCGCTCTGACATCTCCTGTTCTATCTTCACAACAAGAATAAAGATGTTTCACGCAAGCCTGTAGTCCATCCTTAGCAGATGCTGTTATCTTTGGTGTAGACAGAAGCTTTTCAGTGAGCCAGTTTAGAAGTTCAATTCTCAAGAAGGTATGCTTTTGAACTGACAATGCATCAGACATTATTTCATCCTCGAACCACAATGATAAATTAGTATTTTCCGACCACTGATTCATAGTATTTAACCCTGCTTGGCGGACGTTTGGTTTGCTATCAGCCAACACTCCAACTAGACCTGGAGCAATTGTTTTCACATGAACTTTACAATGAGGTCCAAGAGATGTTGACAACTGAGATAAGATTGCAAGAGCAGTTGTAACAAGAATTTTATTAGAATCCGCGAGTCTGAGTTTCATAGCAGGCGCTAATTCCCCTATTGTTGGTTCAATAAATTTAGCTTCATTCAGAATATCTTTCACTTCTTCCAATGCTTCCTTTCTCATTTTCCAGTTTTTATCAGCAAGTTTAGTGATAAGACTATCAGTAATCTTATCAGCAATATTTACTCTGGTAACCAAGTCATCAAATTTTATCTCTTTTGGTGCATCCTCCTCATCTTCTTCCTCCTCACTGTCTGCACTCACTTTCGAGGATTTTCCTCTGATTGGAGCAGGAGGAGACTCACCTTTGCACTTTTCTATTTCAGCATCTATCTGTTGTAGCAACGCTGGTTTTTCACTTTCAAAAAACATTCTTATTTTTGCACCGATGTAGAGTGTCATTGCACTCATGACGCTGAAAGCAGCAGTTCTGACAGCAGGGTTGGTTGCAGCAAATCCAATTTTAATTTTTGCGATAAACATCTTGACATTGGCACCAGCAATCCCAAATTCTTTAATGGCATTACTAAGCCAATTCAATGATTCAGATTGAATTTTTGGGTTTTTGTGTGATATAGCATACTCTAGTAAAGTTTCAGACACCCATGCAAAACTAGTCGCCTCTGCAATAGCGGTAATAGCTTCTTTCGACGCCTTACCGCATTTAACATCTCCAATTTTGTCAGTTAAACCAGTGAGACATATGTCTCCAGATGTTTTACTGAATTTGGCATTTTCAGCAAGGTTTTTAACAATAGCAAACTTTTCATTCAAACAATTGAAATTTAAATCTTTCCATCCTTGCTTACCAGACCCCAAGGTCTTGACCAGAGCTTGACAAGGTATGGTTTTAACATCCGCAAGCTTCAGCTTTTGTGTTATATTCTGAAGACCTTCAAGCCTTTCTTTCCAATTTAAATTTGACAATTGGGCTATGACTTCAGCGGAAAGGAACTCAGCAATTTGATCCTCGACAGCAATTTCACTTAGTACAGGTTCTTCTGCAGGCCTAGAAGATTCTGATGACGCTACATTCTTGTTTGGTTTCGGCTTCTTTTTGCCACCTTTGACGACCTTTTTCTTTGGATCATTCACTTTATCTGCTGCCGTTTCAGTAGAAGCAGATGCACCAGCATTCTGTGGTTGCGTAGGTTTTGTTTGCTTTGGTGCTGCAGCACCTTTAGGTTGAACTTCAGCTTTACCAGAATACTCCTTAATTTTTTCCATCTTTAGATTATCAAGGTCAGCCAAAAATGGCATCACCATTTTCTCACTAACTAATTTCAGCAAAGCACCAAGTGCTTTGTACGATCCATCTCTAACATTTGGAGCACTGTGATCAATATTCTTCAACAATGCCTGAATGATCGGCTTAATTGTACCTTTTGTCAGAGCAGAAGGCTTTGTTTTAGAAAATGCCCTTGCCAAAAACAGCCCAGTCTGTTCTTTAATGGCTGGATTCTTACTATTCAAATATTCTATACATGTTTCGCTAATACCTTGAAGATTAGTACTCATGTAAATAGCATCAATGGCTTCTTGTAGTCCAGCAACTACATTTGGTTTTTTCTCCTTGAATTTTTCCAAAATAGCATCAGTGCACACATTGGCAAAAGGATGAAATTTTTTTCGTATCCCTTTTGCTAATCCAGCGAGGCATTTTGCAGCTATAGTAACGAGCATGACATTGGTATCTTTGGAAACAACCTTTTTCAGAACTTTTACTAGATCACCATAATCACCATTTTCTATTTTAGGATTTTCACAAAGTTTCTGACATAATTCTAGCATTTCTTTACGCTCCTGCCATTTTTTTGCTTCAATTTGCTCATAAAAATTTTTCGGTAGCTCGCTGAGAATCTCGACTGGATCCAAGAGATCATATGGATCGACTTCAGGTTGCTCTTCTTCTACCGCTCCGCCTTCGTTTCCAGCATCTCCACCAGCAGATACAGCTGCTTGTTTTGCTTCCATCTTCTCTTTCAAATCTTGCTGTGACCGCATGAATCTAGTTTGAGTAGATCTTCCACTCGCCTCTGCCTTCGTCCATTCTTCTTCAAGTTCTTTCAGCATCACCGGATTGATATTTTGTAATGATGCTTTGATAGCTGACCCGACCCATTTGTATATTTCAACTGCTAGTGCTTTTACTGCTTCTCTGACGTTTTTATCGCGATGATCAGCCAGTCCTGGGATTTCTTTCAATATAGGTTTCACTTGCATTACTTTTGAGCCAAACAAGCTTATAGCTATCGTAACTGCTTCAAGGCAGGCTGTGGCTACCTTCGGTTGTTTGTTTGAAAATCCTTTAACAAGTTCTTCCTGGGTGAGTTCGTTCTTGTCAATTTCAATATACATCAAGCAAAGATTGATACCTGCTTCTTTCATTCGAGGTTTAGAGTTAAAACACTTCAAAATAATCCCAGGTATAACTTCACCGCATGTTTTCTTTGCAACATTTGCATTTTCTACAAAGACCAATGCAGCTTCCAGTCCTTGAATTCTGATCAATTCATTTGAATCTGTTACAAATTTTCTCATAAGTCCAAGATATTTATTGAATTCTGGACTGGTTTCATCCCACATTTTGAAATTCCTGATACATTCCTTATAACCCTCGGCACGGGCCTTCCATGCCTTATGTTGAACTTTTTGTTCAGTCGATAATTTTTTCCATTCATCTTCCTCAGCCATTATGTATTATGGAATATAACTAAGGTCTAGTAATCGGAAAGTAAAGATAACTGAAAAAAGATACGCATACCATGACAAAATCGTTCATTGTCAATTGCAGACAAAGACAGAAAATCCTCTACTTTTACCAATGACAACAGGGATGTTCACTATGAAAAATGTATCTAAACTATTCCGAGATATTTAGTACAATTACATCTTTCTTGTTTGTCTATGAGAACACAACTTAAAGCCTCTCCACCCCCCTTGAATATCCCATCTCTCGAGTATCCAGCTCACTAGTAATAGCAATGATGTCAAAATGAAAAATTAAACTGACATCCCTAGGGAAATGACAGACAATAGACTCATATAACTCCGAAGCCTAAGAATATTGAAAAAGCAATGCTAACGTTATATTCAATTTACCTACTTTACAAATATCATCATTATCAATCTAAATGTGTTAATGGCACTCATGCTAAAAAATATACTGACAATTCATTATTAGTTTTTTTTTAAACTGCCGGCTTCAAATCTATACAGCAATAAGTGAAGTATTACAGCAGTTACGATTGAAGGGTATGCATGCAGCTACTTACAGCAGTCCTATTACGACAATTATGATGTAATCAAATTTGAGTATATCGAATTATCAAAGTTCGAACTGCTTCAGCTTTTCAATTTGGAAATGGAAACAATAAAATTCCAAAGTGGTGTTTGGAAAACTGAAAATTTGAAATACGAATGGAACTAGATAGTAGTGATTTTATTGCGTTAGAAACTCTCATTTTTTTTTTCTTTCAAACTCTTGAAACCATTAAAGGCTTTCGTCAACATTTTATAACTCATATTCATGTGGTATGCAGTTGAAGTTACAGGGTTCTACAGAGGCCAGGGTTCTAAAACTTGTAGAAAGAGTGTAATCACAATTTTCTCATTGATGTGATTTCAGGCACTTAGTAAAAACCTATTTTCCAATGTTTTTGGTTACTTTGAAGCAGAAAAATCAAAGATACACATTTTGTATGATTGAATTTGCATTATTTTGGTAAAATAAAAACCGTTTGTGACTGGTGGAGACGTGACAAGTGCCTGATTTTTCTCGATGTCAGTTGCCATCTTTTCTCACTTCATTTTCCATAGTTTGTTTTCGTCAAAACTTACCATACTTTGTGTTCTGAATGAAATTGTTTATTCCAAGACAATTTTAACATTTTTAGTAAAACAAGAATTTACTATTTGACAATCTACCGCGGATCATCTCTCCATTTGAATTTATTTGAAATTGAATATTAATGGTAAAATATGGCAACACTGCGAAGAAAATGAAAAAAATCAGGCACGTGTGAAATTTCAGGCACTTTTTAAACCCCGATTTGCCAATGTTTTTGCTTACTTTAGAGCAGAAAAATCAAATATACACATTTTGTATGGTTGAATTTACATCTTTTTGGTGAAAAACAAAAACGATTGGGACTGTAATTTGAGCATTTTCAATAACACAAGGAGCAATACAATTTGACAACATACGGTCAATCCTCGTACTATTTGGATTTATTCAAAATTGGGAAATCAATGGTAAAATATGGCAACATTGAGCACAACATATACAAATCAGGCACTTGTGAAATTTCAGGCACTTCGTAAAAACCCTTTTTCCCCGTGCTTTTGATTACTTTCAAATAACAAAATTAACTATAAACATTTTGTATGACTGATTTGGTATTTTCATGGTCGAATACAAGAAGAATTGTCACTGATAGCGATGGCAAATTTAGTTTTTGCAATTGGGCTTGCCAAATTTTTTCGCCATGATTATTTTCGATAATAATTTTAACTTTGCCTATTATATGTTGTTTATCTATTGTAGAATGTCACTTTCAAAACGTACTCATTTGACAAATCCATGTTTGGAAGATTTTTATTTTTTTAATCGAAACACAAATTGTTATTTGGAATAAATGAAACAACCATCTTAAGGTTAACACAGATAGACACATTTTTTTGCTGCACGGTTTTTAAATCAAGCTCTTGACAAAATTCAGATACTCTACGAAGTTTTTCGTGTAAACTTCCGATTAGTTTAAGCATCAAATGCTCAAGTTTTAAAGTATAAGAGGAGGTATCGCTCCATTTCAGAAGTTAGCTTAAAAGTATAGTTAAATGTTATTCTACAAATTCTTCCATATTCAACCTGCCAATAGTTGTTCATTTTCTTGTATTATTCAAAAGTTGCGACGGACATACAGAAAACACGAAACAAAACCTTACCATCAAACGCAATTTTTGCGCATGGCTGAAATCAAACTTTAGACATAGGTAAACATTAATAATGCATTGATTGTTTCATTGTCAAGCCATACTAAACCTTTGATTTGTGATCTTCTTCCATCGTCAATCGGGGATATATATTTGTATGAAAATTGAAACAGGAAAATAATTTCGATGTTTCTAAATTATGAAAAGCACCTCAAAAACAAAACTTCTTGATCTTCTCTTGAACAAAACAATTTCATTCAGAAAGTAAAGTATAGTAAGTTCTGACAAAAACAATCTATGAAAATGACGACAAAAAAAATATGGCAACTGTCATCGAGAAAAATTTAACATGTGTCCATCAGTTATAATCATTTATGTTTTATAACAAAAATATGTAAATTCAATAATACTATATGCGCAGATTTGGTTTTTCTGTTTTAAAGTTATCGAAACCACTAGAAAATAGGTTTTTACAAAGTGCCTGAAATTTCACAAAAGTCTGATTTCTTTATTTTGTTCTCAGGCTTGCCATATCTTACTATTAAAAAATTATTTATGCCCTAATAAATTGGAAAGATTATTGTTTTATTGCAATATAGAAATGCGCAGATTCATTTAGGATCTAATTATTAGGTCAAATAAATTGGGAACCCCAATAACATATGGTAAAAATAAAAAAGTGCCTGAATTCGCAAGTCCCTGGTTTTAGGGAGACCCTGTGCTTTTCAAAGCGGCACTCAATGGAATAATGTATTGAAGTGATATTACGACAGTGGCGACATAGAACTTGTAATTCAGTAATTGATATATTACAATAAACATATCAATTTCAAAGGAGAAAAAAATGAACGTACGGTACCAGTAGGCTACATGACAAAAAAAATTGCGCTATCGACCAAGTCTTTTTTTAAGGTGGGGGGCTTATATTTTAATCATTTTTAAAATCCAGGCTTGGTCTTATTTTTGGGTAGCACGGTTGAATCATCGGGGTAGTTATAAAATGGCTATGTCCGCTATGTCCCTACTAAAAGGGCTATGTCCGCTATGTCCCTACTAAAATGGCTATGTCCGCTATGTCCCTACTAAAAGGGCTATGTCCGCTATGTTCCTACTAAAATGGCTATGTCCCATCTAAAATTGCGACTCCGATATTTCCTACTAAAATGACTATGTCCGCTATGTTTCTACTAAAAAGGCTATGTCCCTACTAAAATGGCTATGTCCCTACTAAAAGGGCTATGTCCGCTATGTTCCTACTAAAATGGCTATGTCCCTACTAAAATGGCGATATCCCTACTAAAATAGCTATGTCCCTACTAAAATGGCTATGTCCCTACTAAAATGGCTATGTCCCACTTGTACCGCGTGTACCACATGTCACACTTTATCCATGTGTACCACATGTCCCACCAATTGTCCCAAGTGTACCACTTCTCCCCCGGGTACCACTTGTCCCACGTGCCCCACTCGTACCACATGTCCCACTTGTCGCTAATACCGCGTGCATTTTGCTAAAAGGATCGATTGTTTTCATATTATGGTTGGCACTGAAATAAAAATAAATTAATTGTGCATTGGATTTACCTTTTTATCCATTTCTTTTTATTCACTGTCGAAAGTTTCAGTGTTATCATTATACAAAGTTGTGAACGCGACGAGGATTGTGAAGGTAAATTATTTATGATGATAAATTAATTAATCCGAACGACTTTCATTGTACTAAAATAGATTTTACGACGTGAGATTATAACGGTTATACCTTAAAAATAATCCGAGTGGCAGCATTGCGATTGAACGGATCGGTGTTATAGATTTCTCTATTGGCGATAACGAATTAACAAAATTGCAAAGACATCTATCAAAATTAAATATAATTAGACAGTTTATCTCATGTGTCTATGTCCACATATTACATTTGTTTTTTTTAGAGAAGCAATGTATTTAAAAGTCGTCACGCGAGTTACATTAGACACAATTAGGTTAATTACCATGGATTGATATTATACGCCACTGAAAAGTCTCACTAAAAAAGTCGTTTTTTTAACGAGCGAATAATCACGGCGACTGTTTTATGAGGGAAACGAAATATATATCCGGTGAATGGAATGGATGATGAACGGAATCATATGGACAAAATATTCGGCGAATGCGATATACGTGGAAAGAACTCCTGGACGAAATGCATATGAAGAATTGATTTCTTCTGCTTTCCGAATTCATTTCGATAAACTGTAATACTGGATCGATCTAACCTAACTTGCTCTATCTAACCACGTCGGAACATGTTATGACATGGGTTATTAGTGCCGGAATATAGCCGTGTCGATATCGGATCGGAACCGATATCGGCGATAAAAGCAGTATCGATATATCTTTAATCGTTTTTTTAATGTATGTATCCCAATTAAAAAATTTGAATTAGGAAACATTTCTTATAAATATTTAATGTGACAAGTGGGACACGTGGAACAAATGGGACACGTGGGACAAGTGTGTCACGTGGGACAGGTGTGACACGTGGGACAATTGTGACACTTGGGACAAAGGGGAAAGGTGGGGCAAGTGTTACACATGGGGCAAGTGGCCCACTTGTCCGTGGTACACTTGAGACAAGTGGTGGGACACGTGATACACTTGGTACAAGTGGGACACATGGTACAAGTTGTACATGTGGGCTAAGTGGGACATGTGGTACAAGTGGGACACGTGGTACGAGGGGTACACATGGGACAAGTAGTACACGTGGGACCGCTATTTTAGTAGGGACATAGCCATTTTAGTGGAGACAGCCATTTTAGTATTGACATAGCGAACATAGCCATTTTAGTAGAGACATAGCCATTTTAGTATTGACATAGCGGACATTAGGACATAGCCATTTTAGTAGGGACATAGTGGACATAGCCATTTTAGTAGGAACATAGAGGCCATAGTCATTTTAGTAGGGATATCACCATTTTAGTAGGGATATGGCCATTTTAGTAGGGACATAGCGGACATAGCCATTTTAGTAGGGACATAGCGGACATAGTCATTTTAGTAGGAAATATCGGAGTCGCAATTTTGGATGGGACATAGCCATTTAAGTATTGACAAAGCGGACATAGCCATTTTAGTAGGGACATAGCCATTTTAGTAGGAACATAGCGGCCATAGCCATTTTAGTAGGGATATCGCCATTTTAGTAGGGACATAGCGGACATAGTCATTTTAGTAGGGAATATCGGAGTCGCAATTTTAGATGGGACATAGCCATTTTAGTAGGGACATAGTCATTTTAGTAGTAAATATCGGAGTCGCAATTTTAGATGGGACATAGCCATTTTAGTAGGGACATAGCGGACATAGCCATTTTAGTAGGGACATAGCGGACATATGGGACATAGCCATTTTATAACTACCCAATCATCGCGCTTGCATAACAATGAATATTCTGATCGTAAGACTCGATTTGCGCGTGCTTGCATAACAAGCACATGCGCCTGATAAGTGCGCCTCGAAAATTAGGATATTCGTATTAAATATTAACTAATAGAGTAATAGATGATTGAATATTTCACATATTTTATTTATTCTAAATGTTTTATTGTTTCTCATTATTGCAAATGATGTGTATATGAATCAAATTCAATTTACCGTTCTATGTCGTTCCTTTTCTGTTACGAAGGGTCTCTTGTTACGTAACAGAAGAGATAAACCCAATTGCAATTTCGTAGGCTGCAGTTTATTCATTTGCTGAACCGAGATTATCTTACATGAGAGATTTTTTAGCATTTTAAAGAAAAACCATGCAGAGATAAGAAAGAAAAGATGAACCTTTCGCCTTTATTTATTAGGCCTACATGTTTATAAACCTCAAAAGACAAAAAGTACTGCAGTACTGGTACACTTTAACAATACAAAATTGTGTTTTATTTTGAGGCAGCATATTTTTCGAATAAGATAATGCCGGTTGGATTTCAGGATTTGCTATGCAGCAAAAAGCATTCGCACCCATATCACTGAATAATTGAGTACGGTACGGTACCGGTAACATTAATCTATGTGAGTAAATAGTCTATGTGCTTGTTTTTGTCATTGAGTACGCCTACTAAAAGTTGAGAATTACAGTAGCTGTGTCAATAAAATGGCAAAAATGCATATTTCGAACTGTTCAGCATTATTAACATGAACAAGGGCAGAAGGGCCGCGAAAAATTTTAATATATTGAAAGGGGCCGCGAGCTCAAATGTTTGGGAAGCCCTGAGTTAATCAATAATATTCTACAAAATTCAGTCTTCTCAACAACTGGCATAAAAGTAAAATTACAATATGCACTTTCCTCTCCCCACGGATAAATACCTACGGTAAATCCTATCCTACCATGAAAATCGTGAATACGCCACCTAGTTGTAGATCAAATTCAAATAAAACAATTTTCAAAAAAATGACCTCAAGGTCACTCGGTACGGTTCGTCGCGCTCGGGTCTATTATACTATTCTTCGCCTGTGAGAAAGACGAAAAAATTTCAGTTGTTCATGTTATTTTTTTCAAAAACATATCATTTCCCCCTCTCACAATTAACAATCCAATTTGAACGCATTAATCGCTTACAAAGCTGCTCTTGGGCATCGACTAGCGATCAATATCAAACACCACCAAAAAGTTTACTAAGGAATCTGAGGAATCCATCTATCGATGCAAATTCTTCAAATAAAAATTAATTCGCTCATATTTTTACGGTACTAAGAGTATGAGTTTGTTTCGACTCCATAATCCATAAAGTGTAATAGAAGATAAAATAATTGATAAAAACAAAATAAATGAAACTGATTATAGAATCGGGAGAGCGAAGGTAAGGTTTGAAGCGTGCAGATTTTAGATGGAAAGGTATTGTTAAATGTAGTACGTGTTCGCTCACTCAAAAGTATTAAAACTAATTAAGGCACACGCAATCACAGATACGTGATAAGATCGGAAGAGAACAAAGTGAGACATAAAATAAATTACTCAGTAAAAAAAATTATACAAATTAAAAAAAATGAATAAATTCTTTTGTCACGCCATGTTAATAATTTTTTTAACAATAGCCAAATTAACGTCCAAACTATTCAAATACTATTAATCAATAAAAGTACCGATAAATATAATTAATTAAGGCAGTATGATAACGCGGAAAAACATAGGTTTCGGGGATATATGGTTTATCGAAGGTTCATGTAGGGTTTAGAGAAGTCATGAGCAAAGTACGACCCGCGAGCCAAATCCGGCCCGTTGGGTAATTCAATCTGGCCCGTCTGATGCTGCCACAACCAAACTGGAATCAAATTTTGATGTTTCTTCTAAAATAGCTCAAGGAATTTGTTGCGGTTAAATGTAATTTTGGCACGTCGCTTATTGTTTTCCACTTTTGTTTTTGTAACATTGTAAATATTGTTCTCAAATTGTAACTTTTTACGTCACACTCACATGGCCCGCCAGTCTATGTGGGCAAATTTTTTTGGCCATTGGTTTAAAAACCTTGCCCAAAAACCTTGAGTCGGCAACCTATGGCCGACGGCGGAGTAATATAATCCGGCCCACGACGCTTTAGTGAATTATAGTAACAAAAGAGCTGTTTTGACGATTATATTTTTTATGTAACAGAATTTATTGTGAGACACGTGTAGACCTAATTACATTATAATCTAACAAGTATAAGATTCACATTTACTCGTTTAATGAGCCTATAATTTAATTATAATTGCACAAATGGCAACAAAACGCAGAAAAGTTGACGCTAAGTGCAAAGGGTTCCAAGGCGCCGAAAATATTCAAATGGAATATTTTGAAATACAATGCAACGAGGAAATAAATCTATATTTTATTTGAGAGATGCATCACTGCTTGATTTTCATTTTAAAAAGTATCATCCGTTCGGTTTTAAACTTTTTAAAAATATGTGCTGCCCGCCAATGACTTGCAACCCTTAATAATTTTGGCCCGCGAGCGACAAAAGGACCCTGGTCTGGATTCTATATTGTGATATTTAATTCATAATATAATTAAATGACTTACCCCGAGAAACAAATAGCTCATAGACATATCAGAATACAAAGCCAATAATGCAAATTGCATGACAGTAATTTAATGAACGCCCATTGAATGGAATTCGAAACATGCGAATTATGTCAATGAAATATATTAATCCTTAAGATTTGATTGCTTTAATAATTGACAATTGAATATTTCCAGGAATAGTGCTGATGCATCAAATTTACAATTCTCCGCCAAACTGAATTCAAAATAAAAAAGATAAGTCAAGTAAGTTACATTTCAGGTCTGAATCGCTAATAAAATACTTCCATATATTCAAATTAGTTTGCACCCCTTTTGTAAATGACCAGGCAGAGTTAGTAATTAGGCTACAATGTCATTTTCATACTTATTTACAGCAACGCCAAGGAACGTATCTGCCAAACTGCTGTAGAATCCGCGGCGTTGTTGACGTCAACAATGGTTAGCTGATCAATAGCGGGTTTGCCTCATTATTGGTCAAAGTGTTTTCTCTAAAATTCCTAATTTCCAAATCCTGACATATTGAAATGGTATTGTATTGCTTGCGGGTCAAATTATTGCTCAGAATAGACAATAAAAAAAAAACGATCAAATTTTTATCGCTCAAAAGAGTTTTTGGATGACTTACTGAGACTGAGTCTTTCGCGATCCCGCGTCAACTGCAATGAATTGATGTTTCTCGGTTTTTAGTTTACTTTGTACTTCTTCTGTTGTATATTGATTCTTGCATTGCAAAAATAAACATTTGAATCTGAATCATACTTTTCAAAATTTCAACTTCATTTCACAAAAAAATTAAAATTTCTTTTTGCAAAGAGCTGTTAAGGGTTTTCTGTGCTGAACCATAGAATTTTTGAATGCAGTGGCACATCTGCATATTTTACACCTGAATCATTCAAAAACTTGGCAAATTGTCTGTCTATTCTATGTCATTGGGCTTTATTTCTATCTCTTTTGCACTGCTGCCATTACCTCACTTATGCCGTCACTTCGAGTAGCCTACAACAATTAGTATTGTTACCTATACCAGCAAATGTGACGCGGACCACAGATAATTATGCGCGCCGGCCTGGGTTTGGACCAGCCTACTTCAGACTATTAGGTTTATCTAAAACATTCATATTTTTACCAACTAAAGCCCCCAGCCAACCCCCTTATCTTGGTTTCTCTCTTCTTTGTTTTTTTTGGAAAACCAAATTTATAGACTTAAATCAGCGTCTAAATAGCAAATTCAAAATACAAATGGAACTTGGTGATAGTGACTTTAATGTGGTTGTAAGCTCTCAAAGTTGAATTCTTTTCTAAATTAATTATTGAAACCATGAAAATCTTTGTTACCACATTACAACTCTCATATTCATGCTGTATGTGTAAAATTCAAATTTGCACACCCCAAACCAGGATTCTAAAACTTGGCAGGAAATATGCAACCGCGATATTTTTCATAGATGTAGATATTTTTTAAAAATATAATGTGCAACCCACTGATTGGAAAAAATTTGCCAGTTTATTATTTTTCAATCATATGGAACTAAAGTTACTCTGATACTCTTTTTTGCTTCTTTTATAAATTATTTTTTCATTCAATAATTGATTGATATTTTCCACCAAATCATTATGACCCGTTTAGCCCCCAACCAATTCATTTTCCCGTCACTGTCAGATGGCCACGAAGAAAGATGATACAAAAGTAGAAATTTGACTGAGGTCAAAGGTGGAGTAGGTATCCTCGATCACAAGAGGTCAGTACTGAATCACAACAATTTTTTTCATTGTTCTTGTTTTTGTGTCTACTCCTACGTCATTCGGCATATTTGGGCTTTTAGTTGCTCTCGCTAAAGTTTATCAGCTAGTTTTGTTCCGACACAAAGATGTTCAATTCCGGATTTTCTTCAACCATATCAGGATGGTTCTCTGGATCAACTGAAAAGAAGTCTGCCGAAGAAAGCGCGACTGACAAGGTATAGTTTTGGTGTTCATTTGCAGACAGCATGAATGGCCGGCCCTTCACTGCGCCAGGTTCAGGCCTAATCCCCCAGTCTCCTTACTCTTTTAGGACTTTACTTAGTTATCGAGACTTTCTTTTCAGACATGAGAAAATAAGAGGGAAAATGTTAATTTATTTTCAATTAACATTGCACCGAATAAAAATTTAATTTGATAAACTTTATCAAAACAGGTTGATGAAAATACTGAATCAAAGTCATCATCTGGGGGTGAAATAGGTGATGACAATAATCAAGATGTAAAAGAAAAAGAAAATACTGAAAATGAAAAAGGGAAGGATCCAGAAATAGAATCCTCATCCAATCAATTGACTGCTGAAGAAATGCAAGCAAAAATATCACAAGAAACACAAAAAATGATGAATTCGGCTGTGACTTTCGGAAGTAAGATTTCAAGGAATATGAATTTTTTTTAAATGAGCTGGTTTATTCATTATATGATCAGATTTACTTTCAGCGCTATAACATAAATCTGATGTTCTTTCAATGAATTCCATTAATGGCATGTCATTGTCATATTTAGATTTAATACGTTTTGAACCCTTATAATATTATTACTAGACACATCTGAATCATGTCTCAATAAAAAAAATGAAAGTGGTTGCAAGATCGTCGATTTAAAATTATCTGGTCATTTTACTAGTACAGTTCATAGACAAATTTTTTTCTTTTCAATTCGAATATTACTTTGAATTTGAATAGACATTTGATTTCACCCAGCAACTGAATAAAAATATATTATAATTTATAGATTACCTGTTTGGTGTGGCATCTGAAGCATCAAAAAAAGTTTCAGAAAAGGTGACGGAAACTGCTACAACAATCAAGAAAACAGTAGAGGAAAAGGTATTCCAGCTATATTTCAGATATATCTGATCTCGATATCTCTGTTCTTTTTCAAATTAAGCATTACCTACTCAATTTATTACACCCTGTACGAGGTGGTCGTCATTGGATTTGGAAGAACTCACGAACATTTATTCGCGATATCAAAATAGATTCCTAGATAGATTTATTATAGGCCAATACTTAATAAAACAAATTTTTACTTGAAAAAAATTCATTCAGAATTTAATAATTTTATATGGTTAAAACCAGATCATGTTAACAGATTTAACTATTCTCAACAATAAAGGGTGGATTTTAAGTTAAAAAGCGGCAATCATTTTGAGCAATCTATAATTTTATATGGTTAAAACCAGATCATGTTTGTTTGGTAGAATCATACTTACAGAATTAATTATTTTTAACAATAAAGTGGTAATTTTAAGTCAAAAAGCGATAATCATTTTGAAAACCCTCATAACCGAATTTACACTCGTTATTTTTACTACACTGTAGGTCCATGGTTTAATTAACAGCTGTGATTTTCTGTCTGTGACGTTTTCCGTTGAATCGGCAAAATGGCAAAATCGACAGAAAATCGACTGCGCGCGCCTAAAGTGGCAGACAAGAAAGTATTGTGCGGCCCGCGCATGTCAATTTTGAATTGTGTGGCCGTGCCTGCGAAGCGAGATTTTAGTTTACTCATTCTGATACATGGGAGCAATTGGAATCACTTTGCGTCGCGAAATTTATACCAGTACCCCAGTGCTTATTTCATATTAACAAAACTAACTAGCAAAAACATTTTTGAGGCCTGAAACTACTATGAATTATATTTTAAATAAAAGTGCAGCCCACGGCTTCACCCAATTACTTGAATCCGGCCCTTCTGTAATAAAGGTTGCACACCCCTGCTTTAAAACACCAATAACGGGGCGGGCGTAAATAGGGAGTGCTTCATGACACCAGCCAGTTATGATTGCAAGGGAGTTTTTAAAAAGAATATGACAAATTACATCTGGCAGTAAATAGTGAATTAAATATCATGATTAGCAGACCCTTTGGCGTCATCCATACATAATAAAATATATCGAACCAAATATAAAGTTAACACAAATCATGTTTCAGAAGACTCCTGCAAAAAATAGGCCGACCACAGAAAAATAAAATAAGCATAGCCGTCCGGTAGGATGGACTCCCCAAAATCAGGCCAAAAAATTGGGTCTAGAAAAGCGACTAATTAGCCGAGAAGTACGGTAATTCTTTAGCGACAGCATGAAGAAGAAAAAATTATGAAATTAAAAAAAAAATATGTTTTGGGTAATAATGTTTGACATTTCCAAATGATGGTCTGTAATTGATGACCCAATTGTATGTCATGATTCATATGTTTGTGTTACTAATATTCCATGACTAAGCAATTTACCGACATCCGATTCAACCAATGGGATTTGTGTAAAACCTTTTTCTAGTTTATGTTACATTGATATTACCTATTATTGTGTTGTTGTTTTATAAAAAAAATCTGTATCCTAGTTCTATATAATGTTTAGAATGGATCAAAATTAGCGAATAACATAATACAATATTAACTTGAACTGGAAGTCCTGATAGAGAATTTGCAATTCATAGAAGTGTAATAATAGTACTTTAAAACCCTTTTTGGCAACCCTGTGAGCGTTTACTTACTACATGAGCATTTTTGATTGAGGTTGTTTCATTGATTTACCAATACCATTAGGTTGTCTTAATCCGCTTCTCTCTCCTTCGTGATAAACCTTGAGGTCAACCATTCTTGATTAATGACTAACTCAAGATTACCTAATAATTTCATTATATTTCAGTCTATCATTGGAGACTTGAATCGAGAGCAAGAAGAATTTTTGCAGAAGAAACGAGAAAGACAAGGTAGTGATACTGATAGTATTAATTAAGCGTTAGACTTCATGTGATGTATTGAAATGCATTTCACTCCAAACGAGGCTCTGTACAAGCATCTACTGCCAGCTACTTTCCCGTTCGACTTTGCTGACCCAATTTATTGCACCCTGAGTCATTCAAATTTGAGATTTTAACTTCTGGGCGATTGCGCTTTGCCGCTTTCTATGTTATAAAAATTTCTGACTTGTTTTTGATATTTTAATGAGAAAATTTTATTTGCTTCAATATATTTTTCTAGCGGGTGATGCCAGTGTACCACCTTGGATTGGTTATCAAGAAAGTGAAACAATGAAACAACAAATTCTTGCCTTGTCTACTGTAAGTCTTGCTTTATCTAGAAATTGCATTGCACATTTTAATATCTGATCTTATAAATAGTTTTCATTGGAAGAGTAATCTGATAAAGAATGTATGTGACATGTCAAATATTTAACTAGTTTCCAAAATACATGTTTGAAATAGCTGTTACTTCCAGCTCATTGTAAATTTCAAATTCGAAAATCATTTGAAACGAGTTATATGTTACACATTATTATAACGACCGTCGAGGTCTGACCAATGAGGAACCTGCAAGGTTATTCTCGCAGGGTTGCGGTGAAGGTGCCAAGTCCCCCGACTCCCTAAGTATATGGTGAATCCGTTTTCTTGATACGCTTATTTTATTAGACTGTCTCAACGTGACCCGAAATCACTTACTGGTTTATTACCAATCTTGCATGATTCCGTTGTGTCATCCCGCATTGATTAAAAATGCATGTTGTAATTTGTTGTTAAAAAAGCCAAACCTTCTTTACAAGGCTTCATGACCTGTATCGCAGAAAGTACGAGTCATTATTCATATCCGTCATGAGTTTGAAAGGATTTGGTACCTCTGGTATATCTGATTCTATAAATAAATACATACTTTTTGTGATGAATTGTAAACATAACTATTCCAGGACAAAAGAAATTTTCTACGAAATCCTCCTGCAGGAGTACAATTCAATTTTGATTTCGATCATCATTTCCCTGTTGCTATGGCTACATTAAAAGAAGATGAAAACCTACAGAAAATGAGATTTGATCTTGTTCCGAAAAGGTTGGGAGTATTTTTTTTTTATCTGGGAGAGGTACCGAAAGTAGATTCTATACTACTTCTAATATGATTCCTTTTATATGACTCCTATTTTATTTCTCAAGTCCATACTGTTTTTTGTGACTAAACCATTATACTTGCCAACCCTTTTAAGAATGTTATTTCTACATTATTTTGCATTTTATGGTCAAACCATTCTAATCCAATTATATAATATAACTGATAAATCATAGTGTTGGGAAGAAGCCCCTATACCCCGAGTTGCGAGTCCAGTTGTGGGTTAAGATATGCTCAAGTCCCGAAGTTGGGTTACACTGATCTAAGTTTCACTGGCGGTTAGTTGTCCGTGGGCGTGTCTAGTATGACTATATGAGTATCCCCAACACCGATTACCACATTATTCAATTTTTAAATTTAATATTCTAGTCTGAAAGAAGAAGTATTTTGGCGAAATTACTTCTATCGTGTTTCCTTAATCAAGCAATCGGCACAACTGTCAACTTTGGCGGAAATAACTCGATCTTCTAACGATGCATCTTCATCAGCGTCAAGTACGTCATCTGCTGTCATTATCGGAAGTACGAACACTGGAACAACTTTAAGTCGATCAAGTAGCTCAAAATCATTAACCAAGTGAGTTGACTTTTTAATTTGCACATAATTATATTCTTAAAGGATTGAAACCTGAAAGCCCATGCAAGGTGGGCAAAGGTGCGATTGAAAGCCTATTTCTAATTCTTGATTAGCATTTTTAAAGAACTTTAGCATTTTATTTAATAATTTTCAGATCCGACTCCGAAAGTCCATCCAATGTAACCAACAAACACCAAAAAGCAGAATCCCTCGACCATATCAATGACACAGTGAGTTATCGTTTGAAAATTGGAGTAAATTTTGAAATTTTTTTTGTTTTGTTGATAATTTCATCTTTGATCGATTTGATTTGAATCGTCTCCAAATAAGTTAGCACAGGACCGAACTTTTTAATAGGCGCAATGGGCTAAAATATGGTCGAATGCAATCCCAAAGTCAAGGGTATTGTAAATGAAAATGCCTGTAAATAAATAAAAAAATTCTATATTTTATTGATTGGAAACCACCAATCAGCTATTGCAGTCTGGCGGAGTGAATCTAACAAAATCATAATTTGATCTCTATAAAAATTACATTTATTTTTTTTCATTTAAATGCTAGAGACTTTCGTATTAAAAATAGCAAGAAGTTTGGAGTTAAAACTTCGGGTGTCGGAAACAGTCTGTGGAGTCTAAAGTTTGGCAGGTTTTCACTGGGCGTCAAGCCGGAGCTGAAGTGGAATTTCCAAACTTCCCGAATTTCATACTTCTAATGATGATAATAAAAATGAAAATTGTCTTCAGGATCTCAAGAGTAATCAAATCTTCCAAGCATTCTTAACAGCATCTTTTAAAGGAAGATTGCATACGCCAATGTTATTTTATTAAAATCATATTTTCTCTGGGTTCATAGTTGGATTTTAAAGCGACTTTTTTATGGCGAGATCGGGTGGCATCAAATTATTTTTATTTCAGCATGAAATGGAACCTGGTGTTGGTCCAGAGTTTGTTTCGGATGATTTCGACCCTTCAGCTTTAAACCCTGACGATTTGGAACGAGAAATGAAGCAACTGGGCATGGAAGATGGGGGAGGGACAGAAGGGGAAGTACCTGAATGGGAAAAGGAGTTACAAAAAGAATTACAGGTAAAACTTTGCGCTATTTTCACTCATTTTTTTGTTACTCAATTTGGCGCTCCAGAAGTATGTGTACCAATATGGAGGTAACTAATTTTGTTCGCCCACTTTACATCAAGTTGTTTACAGGGATTATTATGGGCAGGGGGTGTATTCACTTGGCTAACACAGATAGTTTCCGAATTCGTAATAGTACTGAAATAAGGAAAAACGGAATAAAATTATGGCCTAACCTAACCTGGTACACATACTACGAGAGTACCTACAATTTTAATTTATTACAATTTCCGCTCTTTTATCCACAATGTCCAGAAACTCATTATTACCAGTACCACCGGAACTTAGCTTTGTAACTTGCCTCTGTGATGACTATACCCTCAATTTATTTGGTACAGGATTATGAGGTTGTTGAAGAAAATGACAAGGACAATGCCTGGGAGAAAGAGATTGAGGATATGTTAAGTAGTGAAGCAAAAGAATAATATCATATTTTGTATATTTATTCCTTATTTTTTGAATTCTGCTAACTGTACACTCTATGGTTATTCACACATTTCGTTTTAGCTTTAAATTCTTATCTAATCTAATGGTTTACAGTTTTACACAGTGTGAAAATTTTAGTGATGGTCGCCAGGTGTTTCAAGATCTATTCGGGTGCATGTTCTTTATTTGCTATCGAATGGGTTTTCTACTTATCGTACACTTTTGTGTGCTGGTATGTCTGTACTTTATGGATGTTGTAGCAAGAGTAAAGATAACTATTTTAAGTGATTTAAAAATCTTGCTGCACATTAACACAAATTTATTTCTGCAATATTTGGTTAGACTAAATGTTCTTCTATAGTTCATAAAATGGCCGGTATGTATAGGTTTTAGCTCATTTGACATTATATAGCTTAGTAGTCAATTCATTCTACCAGTTTAGTCATGGTGAGTTAGATACATTTTGAAAAGACTGTTCATCACCGAGCTCTAATGCAGCGGTTCCTAAACTTTTATCATCTGTGGCCCCCTTGCTCTTGTATAACAATTATTACTTTTGCTTTTAACTCGTTTTTACTCGATCTTAAGATCGGTAAGTATGTTGATAGGTATTTGTCTGTCTGTTAGATGAACGCGATATCTCACGAAGGTGAGGTTGCATCTGCTCCAAATTTTTCATGTACGTTCATCATATCTCGGACCAGAATCCTTTTGATTTTGGATGAATTATGTCGAATAATTAGCGTGTTATTAATTAATTAGTGATGGGACATGCGGTGTCACTATAGGGTCATGAATCGATAATCTTTGGTCTCCGATCGATATTCTCGTTTTATACTTGCCGGTTTAATATTAGAAGCTAACAAACAAGATCAAAGGAATAAATACATTAATGTTGTCATCGTGATTGTGGCCGCCAGATAATCGCTCTGTTGCCCTGTGGGGGTCGAGAGCCCAGTTTTAAAATCCCTGCTGTAGTAGATAGGGGTGATCCAATTAAGTAAATTGTCATATGTGCAATATTAAAGTAGAGCATAACCATAGGTAACTCTGAAAAAGATTGAGTCAAGAATAAATCTTCGCTATGATTCAATAGAACTTTACATCACAGCACATCCTGGAGCTTTTCCATTTCATACCTTTGCTTAAACAGAAATATGTAATTTTAGATTTTGAAATGTTCCGTTTTTGATAGTTGTCTTATGTTTTGTTTCATTCCTTCTGTTGTATATATATTTCCTCTACGGCATTATGTATTCTATTAAAAATTTCTTATATGGTGTCTTACCTATGCATTAGATGTGTGGGTATGGTAAAGATATGTAGAAACTGTTTGAAATATTGATCTTCGCGATGAAGGTAGTAAGTTATGATTCGTATAGCGATTCTACACTTGGCAGCAATGAAGGGACATTAGTTAGCTTTAATTAACAACCGGCTCTGTTCGACTTCTATGTCTTAATACAGTTTTCAGCCGCTTTTTTCCCCTACACTAGTCCTTATTAGAGATGTACCGATACCACTTTAGTCGCCGATACCGATACGCCGATACTATGTAATTATTACTTAATTAGGGGTGCTGTGTAGGGTAGACGGGTTAAAACAATGGTCTTTGAGCGTTGTTCATAGTACACATTATTTCAAATAGAAAAAAAAAGATAAATCACATAATATGAAATTAATGTTTGGAGTTTGCTTTAACTGATTAAGATACATTGTACAATAACGCTAGTAATCTCGGTGTTCAATTAGAAATCTCATAAGCCGGGATGTCAAATTTGAATTTAATGTTAGTATCGCGACCTTCGAATATCGTTATTCGTGTTTAAAAGAATATCGAATATCACCCACATATTCTAGCGCCGCCGTCCTACGTTCAAATTAAAAGCATTTTACAAATATTGTATTTCGTGGCTAATCGTAATCGTCGACGCAATAAGTCAAAGCCAACATGAATAAAGAATATCAATCAGCACCAACAAAAAGAAGGCCTACCTATAACCGTCGAGGAGGTTTTTTTAGTAAAAATAACATGATCTCTTCCAACGAAATAGATTTTATAATATTTTACAATTGCAATCATATATTTTGAGACAGTCTAGGGCTAGGCCGTCATGTCAATATATCTATAAAGTAGTTGTGTAGTTAAACAAAATTAAGATTAATACCTGCGTAGAGAGATAATTGTGTCGGAATTTAGTTTATCGATGTCGACGGACTAAATGACACTCGTACTTGACGACAAACAGTCAGAATTTATACCCGTGCCAAAAGTCTATGTGCCGTTAATAAGGACCCCAATTCCACTGTATGATTTAAAACCGGGCGCCTGATTGCTTTTTGTTATGTGCTGTGTTGATATATTTCTTCATAATTACTATGTAATATTAAAAATGTCAATATAAAAATTTGACAGCGAAAATATCTAAATTAGTTGAGCTAGTTTGGCTGATAAATAGCTAAAAACACGTGAATATTCTCTCACGGGGGTGGGGACATGTATGGCTCATAGCTCACAATCTCTCCAGACAAAAAATAAATTAAAAAGTAGTATTCCAACTAATCTTTTGAAACATTCTGGACCATATCAAAAAGGTAAATATATCGGAAATATCGGCCTTAATCTAACCGATACCGATACATGGCCGATACCGAAAAAATGGCCGATATTGCCAATACCGGTACATCTCTAGTCCTTATGTCGGTGGTTTACAATTAGGGTGCACCAGTTCAGTCCATGAGTTCTGCAAGTTTACATTCAAATCCTGACGTTGTAATGACGTAATTTTTGGATGGTGTAGTCAGATGGGGGTTAGGATTGATCCCAAGCTTTTTTTAGGACGACCCCAAAGACAACTTTCAAGTGTCCAGTGCGACCCCAGGTCAATATATATATTTTTCATGAAACTTTGGAGCTTCTTTCACTGGGCTTTTGAGTTTGGGCATGTGGTGATATTAAGTAAAATAAGCTAAAACCAAACAGTGATGTCGCAATAAGCACCTACATTTTCTATAGCATAAGCATAGAGCGATGCCTATGGGCCTGTTTTACAGTAAGCCATGGTACAAGCTGCTAAACTTAACAAGGTTTATCAAGTCTTAGATGTTTTGTACATTCATCCTGTATCCGACCCCATGACCTGTTTGCGACCCCACCTACTTCTCACTCCGACCCAATTTGGGGTCGTGACCCCTGTCCTAGAGTCTCAAAAAATAGGCATGTTAGTGGTGAAACACCTTCATTTGTTCTGCGTCAAATTGTAATTTTACATTTTTAGTTGGCACATTTCATGATAAAAATATACATATCAATTCCATCGGGGTTCCTATGGAATGTCTATTGGTGTTTCACTCCAAAAGGTTGAATCACTAGCACTATGGCTTGTGAAATTCCTGTAACCCTGTTAGTGTTCGGACAAAAGCCTATTTCGCAAGAGTCAACTACTAGATGTATAAAATAATATTAACATCCTTACCCACCAGTACCTTCATTTCAATAAAAAGTTATTAATTAGTCAATGCTCTGTGGCTGGTGTACCAGGCCAAGCGTGCCACGCCAACATGCTTGCCATTGCGCATCTGGTTACCCTATGTTTAAATTTCATGTAGGATAGTTATGCAAGGATTGCTGGACTCCTTGCCATATTAGGTTGGCCCCCGGGTGGTCAGCGCTTCCTTCAACCAATTAATCATAAAACAAACTTGTAGCCCGAAAGAGGCAGAGGTTTGCAATATGATTAAGCTATCTTATCGAACAGTTATTTCTCTAGTTTTCTCGCCGCAACGATTCCAATAGGAGAGAGATCATTATGCGCGTCTTGGATGGCAGTTCGTATAGTTTGAAGGGATCTATTACGTCACTGTGACGTTGTAATGACGTAACTTTTGGATGGTGTAGTCAGATGGGGGTTAGGATTGATACGTGAAAAAATTGTCATGCTACACCCACTAGAAGTATGTTAGGTACGAAACTACATGAGACCCCAAAATCATCTTTTCTCCCACCTCCACAGTACGAGATGTTTCTCACATTAGAACCTAGGAAAAAAAACTTGAACAAGACTTTACGCCATTCATTTCTTTTTATTGAACATGTAATAAGATACACAATGGCTATTTTTATTGTTTCTGAGCAAGACGTTTATCTCTCTCTTCTGCAATAGTCAACTTGACTCCTTTTCCTCTTGGTAGAGAAATATTTGGCTTGTTAACCTGATAAAAGAAAAATATAAATAAGTAATGATGGCATTCCATATACTGCAGGGGTGGCAACCTGCTTTCGACTAAAATCTTCAAAAGAGCTCGCGATCGACTGAGGTCATACACAAAATTGAATGAGTACATCATATGCAGATAACTGCACATACGCATACATAAAATTCCACCGCTGCCAATAAACGTGGCTCTGTGAGCGCATTTTTAATTAAATTGCGACAAAACTTTGTATTTTTTATGTTCCATTTAATATGATTATGTAAATAACCCAGAAAATTTTCATCATTTATTTTAATGATACAATTCAGATAAACAGCCTGCATTTTGCACCTGTATAGCATTGTATTCATCCTGTTTTAAAACACAACAGGCGCGCGCTGCGTGAAACTAGTTTGGTGAAAAACTAAGGGCATGTTTCTAAATTCACTCAACATCAGACGCGATCAACTATTGAAGGGTTAATAAAGGTATATGGTGCTCCCGAAGTATGCGAACCAAGATGGCGGACATCGGAACTTAACATGGTTAACAGGTTAGGCGATAATTTTTATAAATTTTATAATCTTTATAAAATTCTTCAATGTTAATTCCACTATACAGACATCTGGCGTACAGATTTAATAAAATACACCAGTCAAATAAAATTAAACAGTCGATCCACAAAATGTGTATTCACACCGAGATGGAATACGAAAAAACGGGACGGATTTTATTGTTCAATATTCTAGATGAGAAAGGCATTCATTTTAGTGTCGAGCTGCTAGATTATTATGCAACTGAAAATATTCCACCAATGACAAATTTCCATTTTGTTTTTCCAAAAAAATCAAAGACGCCTTACACTCTACAAATTATGATAATTCTTAGAAAATGAGCTAATATCTTTGAACAAGGATATACAACAGTTTTGCAATTATCAGTTGCATCATATATTTATAAGTATGGCCACCAATGAGAGTCATTTATTAGGTTCAACAATAGTATTGGTATAACTTCGAATCCTGCACCCCCAGATTGAAATGTATAGCTATAGTGATTTTCATCCCCTAACCGGTTTATCTGTGGACAATACTTCTGTTTCATTTTTTAAACAAATAAGTGCTGAGGGGTACAGCTGACAAACCAACATACATTTTTACAGTTCATGTAACAAAAATCATAAAATTTTAAGCCAAAGACTGTCTTTGAGCACTTGATAATACAACAGCTCACCTGGCCAATGACAAAGACGTTTCCAAGTCTGGTAGCGAAGGTATGTCCAGTGGCATCCTTAACATGGACAATATCGAAAGATCCCGGATGCTTCTCACGATGCATGATAGTTCCGATACGTCCAATGTTGTGCCCTCCGGTAATCATACAGAGAAGACCTAAAAGACATTGAGAATCATTATCATTTCTAAATTAAGAAAAGTCAATAGATCCATTGAGGTAATTGAATAGTTGTATGTTCATAAGATATGTTGAAAAGCATGATGGCCTAGTAGTTAAACATTAGACTTAATTGTGTTGATAACTGGCATCGTGGGTAACATCTCAGGTTCAAATGTCACACCGACTAACTCACCAAAGGGGTAATAAATAGGGTAGGCAATGCCAAACTGGGAATATTTTGTTCCTCCCCAAAATAACTCCTCACACATTGTTAGATATATGTGGCTGCTTGCATAGGGCCTTGTTCAGAGCAAAACTGCATGAAAAAGCATCGTATATTACAAAACATTCCCATACTGCACTACGGAATCTAAAGTCATTTTTCGATGTGTATTTGGGATAGTAAATTATTCACATTAGTACTATAACGAAGCCATTTTTTCGATGAATGGTTTACATATAGCCAATTATGAATAAAAAGAAATAAAGATTCACTCATCAGAATAAAGAATTGTACATTGTATCAAGCAACACAAATATGCAAAAATTTGGTACTTGACATAATTCTAGTTGTGATTAAATTCGATTCTGCTCCCATTTTGAGCAATACAACATTGAGAAAGTTGAACCTGACAGAGCAAAAGGCTTTATATTGTTTATAAAATACGATAAAATCTAACAAAATCTTCAAGTAGTCACTGCTCAATCTTTCCCTACGACAAAGCAGCAAATAATAAAATTTCAATTTGAATATAGATCTCCAAGATGGTATAGTTTTGAAGCAATATTTTTACCGAAGTACAGACAGGAGGTTAAAATAAAAAAAAATATGTTTTTTCTCAAAACAGCTGTCATTGTCAAATATACTTTACACACTCGGTGTCATGTAAATGGTATTGAACTCGGACAGTTACTAGAGAAGCAATCAGAAAAAGCCTTACTCACCAATTTCAAACTTTGTGTGACTGATGATTTTTCCTGTAGCGATGTCGACAGCAACAGTATCGTGTACTTTGACATCAGGATGTGGGTAACGAATCGTTCGAGCATCGTGGGTGACAAGGAATGGCACTCCCTTTGCTGCAGTTCCGAGTTTCTTGACTTTGCAAAGTTTGTATTTGGCCTCCTCTGCTGTGATTCTGTGGATTGCGAATCGTCCTTTCACATCATATACAAGACGGAAATTTTCTCCGGTCTTTTCGATAGTGATTACATCTAATGGAAAGAAATGAAAGGCATAAATATACATAAATACAATGACAAATTTTCCCTCAGGAGCGTATCCGTTCTAAAAATAGTCTGAATAGAAGACCTTTGGTATGAGTTCAGACAAACTTCAGGCAAAATAATCTAGTGAGAAAACTCAAAAAAGCAATGGAACAAGATCCGGGTCTCATGTAGTTTCGTACCTAACATACTTCTAGTGGGCGTAGCATAACAACTCTTCCACGTGTCAATCCTAACTCCCGCCCGACTACACCATCCAAAAATTACATCACAGTGATGTAATAGAGCCCTTCAAACTATACGAACTGTCATACAAGATGAGCACCCAAAATCGAACAGCTTTTTCTCTCATTTTCTTGCCGCGACGATCCCGATATGAGAGAGATCGATGATGTTCGATGATAGTCTGCGCCGATGCCATTTCGGGCGATTGTACGTATTTTGGCAAGCTCTATGACGTGATTGTTCCGTCATAGTGAGGAAATTTTAGATGGCGTAGTCAGACGGGGGTTAGGATTGACATATCAAAACATTGTTATGCTACGCCCACTAGAAGTGTGTTAGGTACGAAACTACACAAGACCCCAAATCAGTACAACACAGTTTCCAAATTTCCAGAATGTCCCGTCATTTAGTTCAATAAAACAAACACTCCCACATGTCTCACAAACGAGGGGCGTCTGGCACAACGACAGATCCAGCCATGTTTACCTCAATAATAATCTAAATTGATCGCGGCCGTCACATGACCAAGATTGCCGTTTTCGGTTGAAACTTTCAAATGCCACAATAAAAATTTTTTCGTTCTGTAAATTAGATTATTTTTTCTCCTGAGGAATCCAATGATGACGTTTTTAGACCGCGCTTTTTTGCATTTTTTAAGAAGTTATCTATTTACATACACACTTCAACAACAGACCAGCATTAGTGTAATGTTGTAACAATTTAGTGAAAAAATCCTCCATCCTTACCCATAAAACCAGCAGGATAAGTCACATCAGTTCGTACTTTCCCATCAACCTTGACAAGACGTTGCATTAAAATCTTCTTCACTTCATCATATGTCAACGCATAATGGAGACGATTTCTCAAAAATATAGCCAATGGTAAACATTCTCTCAGTTTATGGGGACCAGTGGACGGACGTGGCGCCTGAATAAAAATAAATTATGACTGTATGATGGAAAGAATGCTAAACTAAAAAAAAAATTCAGAAATTACTTACGAAAACACCAGTCAACTTGTCCAACATCCAGTGCTTAGGAGCAGCAAGCCGCTTGAGATGCTTCTTTGGACCACGAGCCTAAAAACATCATCATTTGTTAAATATTGAATACCTTGATACGAACTCAGTTTATTATCATACTCAAATCAAAGAAGACGCTCATAAACAACAATTTTGAACACCGAAATTCAAGTTCGCATATTGTACTATCCTGACAATAAACACTTTTTTTTTGATACAAAATAACTTATAATCAACCAAACTGAATAACTGCGACGCTTTAACAGCAATAACATTCATAGGAATGGAAGGATTACAACAGATAAAAATTACGGTACATCATGTACCTACCATTATGCACCTCCTAAATGAAAAGAAGGAACAGCGGCAAATCTCGTTTTGGTTCGAGCAATTTGCGCCCTTTGGCAGATTCGTATATGCTCGCCATACTAGCGCGAGATGGCGCTATGCCACTACAGTTTTCGCGAAAGTCTAGCGTTTGTCGAAAATAAATTTTGCGGGAATGTGAGAATATACTTTTCTGAGAAAAAATTTTCAAGCGAACGAAATTTTAAAATCTTGCTTTCATTTTTTAATGTTGTATTTTTTGTTATTAGTTTGTTCATTATTTTCGATTGGAACAACTTAATTGCTCATTTATAGGAATTTAAGTTTCGAATATTCTGATTAAAATATTTTTTAATCTAATTCCATTTAGTAGCCTCTAACATCATATTATCGTCAACTTTCTTTAACTTGGCAATACCGTAAAATTGCAATATTGCACAAAGTAACTGAATATTATTATTGATCCAAAATGGATAATGTTGTAGAAATAGCTACATTCAATGGATGTTCCAAATACCCAATATAGTTGGGATTGAAAGGTTTTTTTTGTTACAAAGAGCTACATACAGTTACATGTTCACTTTTATTGTACGTTGTATTGTAGTGATCGTTTTCATCTTATATTTCCCTTCAAAATTCACGCAAACAATGAACGGTATTTAAATGTGCTTTTATGCCGTTCGTGCCATGGTTTTAAAAGAAGCAGAGATTATGAGGGAAACATCGCAGACCTATGTCTTTAATAATGAATATTGCTGTTATTATATTGATAGTGTATTGGTACTTTAAAGAAGCGTTTATGTAATGATATATTTGTAAAACTTTTTAACATCTTAAGTAGTCAATTCTTTAAGTATGCTCTAAGTCTAAACCAACGACTAACATACCGGTCTAAACTAAACAAAGTCTAATATAAGAACACGAACGCCAAAACGAACTAGGGTATTCAATCTGCGCCACAAGAATCGAAATTTTTAATTTTTATGACGTCATCGCAAATACAAACAAATCCCATAGCATCCACAGAAATTGTTGGAATAAATGGAAGTCATAGCCTTCTAGCGAATACAATCTTCAGCTAATGGGAATTTTAAAGCAATTTCACCAGTATGTGGTATACTGTATTATGGCTCCCATTATTTCATGCATGAGTGACCTTGGTTTCTCTCTCTCCCACCTTCTTTTGTTGATGCTTCAGTCGATGACTGTGTGTTTCTGTAATACATTTTGAATATCTACAAACATCGTCTATTCTTTGATGTTGATTCGAATTGCCCCGATTCAAAAAGCTGAAACTTTCATCCCTAATTATTTATCAATTATTTAAAACATTTAAATGGTAAGTCGGCGTGGTAGGTCGTACGTACGTCAAAATTGACTTAAATGAGATTGGTAAAATTCAAGTATTTGGATTCCATTTGAGCCTTATTACTTATCGATCTTAAGATCGGTAAGTATATTGATAGGTATTTGTCTGTATGTCTGTCTGTCTGTGTGTGTGTCTGTGTGTGTGTCTGTTAGATGAACGCGATATCTCACGAACGCGTGGTTGAATCTGCTCCAAATTTTGCATGTGCATGCATCTTACCTCGGACCAGTAGCCTATAGATTTTAGGTTAATTATGTCGAGTTATTAACTAATTACCGATATACGATCGATAAGTCTTCGGTCTCCGACCGATATTCTCGTTTTTAACTTAATAATGTCCTAACCTGATATGTCTCATTGGCAGAAGCTCGCGACTCGTAAGTGCAGCGGCTGAACTAGACAATCTTTAATTTTAAATATTTGTTGCACTCTGACCCAACTTTTGGTGTTTGTCTTGTGGCTCAAATCGACGAAGAGTTTTGAATTTATACCTGTCACTGGCAACATCGTATATATTATTTCCGTACTTAGGAAAGCGTTGTTCATTTTCAAACTCATACAAACACCCAGCAGAGATAATTTGTTTGCACAAAATTGCAACAGTACTGACACTCGTTCATACTCAGATTTATTTCACAAAAATTCACTATATCAATAATCGTTTTGTCAAATAAATATTGTTATGGTTCATTCAAATATTTTCTTGTCATAAGTTTGTTTATGGCAGTGCAAAATCCAAGTAGCATGGAGTGATTGATTGGAAACTCTGAAAATAAAAAAGGAATAATTGGGATAATCAAAATTTCAAGATATTTTGGTTACAGTTTTTTGCAAAAAATATTACTGAAATGTCTTTAGGAATAATAAGAAAACTGTCATAAATTTAATATTTAAAAAATGATGACAGTTATGAAAAGACACGCATGGTCTTAATATATTGTTAAAAACTTAGTCTGAAAATCGTAGCGATGAAAATGTGACACACGCTACTCAATTGTCTCCATTGACGCACTTACCTATTTGAACTTAGTTAATTAAGCTAACAGTAGTAATTTGATATAAGAAGTGTACAATATGGATCGCAAGTAAACTTTTACGCAGTTCAGTTTTCGTAATGTGAGGATATTATCGTTTATATTTACTCTTTTTGACAGTAGCTCATAACTTCAGACTTTAGTACAGAAGACAATACTCACGTAGGAATATTCATATATGCAGACACCGGGTTTCAATACGGACAAATGCCATTTACAAAGCGGTCTGTAACAGATCAATCCTGGTCTACAGTTTCCATAAGTTCCTCCACATTTATCTCCATATCCTCCTCCGCAAACCGGACAGCAACTGAAACAAGTGTAAAAAATATTTTAACCTAACGTTCAGTATGAAATTGAAATGACATTGTTGCACGTAAACTAAAACATATTAAAGTTTTCAAACGGATAGGTAACGTGTGAAACATTTCAACTAAGCGGTATAATGGCCTATATGTTCTTCTGAATCTGCCCACCCAAAAAAGTTATCAGCTATCACACCCGGTTGACTTTCAGCGTTTTACAGTTTACTGTCAGTGTGCATACCAGACAAAAAGATTTTTTGGCCGAAACTTTAGTTATGTGTAATCGGCTGCCTTTTAGCTGTTTTTCTGGTCGGATTGGAATGAACTGATCTAGGTCTCTCGTTAATCATTATTTACTAACGTGCACTATAGTTTTTTATAGTCTCAGTAGCTCCTGGTACTTTCGTGTTCGTCAGTAACTTTGCTCGGAGATCAATCTCCTTTATTTTTAAATTAGTACGCGTGACCTTACTTGTTCAAAAATCGTTTTAGAGATGTTGTACAAAATGGGACGAAGGGATACTCTCGGACTGTATTTGTGTAAATGAAGTAATAAATATATATAACTTACCTGCAGCGTGGATAATGATACTTGACTCCTTCCGGGCAAAGGGGAAGGGCACAGCGAACCAATGAACAGTCAGGTTTATTATACGGACAGTATGGTTTGTATGCTGCAGTGACAGACAACACTGAGCAAACGGCAAGAATAGCTATAAACGTTTTCATGTTTACGATGTTATTACTATATTCAGCCTTTTTCGAACGAAAAGTTTTAAGCTAAGATAAGCTCTACCTTCAAAACTGTGATACAAAAAATATATATTATTATAGTAATTATTATATTAAAAGTACATAATCAAATATTATGTAGATAACAGTGAGATCACGCACAAATAGCTTCAAACTACCCTAATTGTGCAAAACATTACATACAAAATAGTGAATTACAAAAAAAATTGGCTATTCGATCCAGAAACGCATACGTATAACTATATGGAATACATATGGTCGATCGATGTTTATGATATAGGTCAATTCTTTGAGACGTTCAAATTCCATTCAGTCATTTATTCCATATTTCTCGCGATCTGCAGCCTCACATCTAATCAGCAATCTTTGCCATTTCGGAGTACAACTTGCAATGTTGTCTGAATATGTGGTGTGTTGTCATTTTATACTATTTCACTATGAAAAATCTTGCAAAATATACTTGCGTTAGACGTCAAATTCCAGCAATTACGCACAACCTTTTTTTTCAATTTGCGTTACCACATCAAGAATAGCCAGTCATGTTAACGAGTCTCGGAAGTTTTTTGCTTTTTTATCCAGGAATACATTAAATGAAAAATTAATAATAATTTTTCCATAAATTAATCATTCGTAGTCGAAATTGCCCATAATTTTAATTCTGACGAAACTCATAAATTAAACGTATATACATAATGGGTTATAATTATAATTAATGGCACCACTGGGTCGACGACTTCCCTGCAGTGTAACACATTTCGTAGAAATTCTACTTCTTTAAAGTACCAGTCTTTCTTGTAAATGAAACCGTTTTGTCGCAAAATTATCATGTTTATTATTTTGAAATTGAAATAAATCTAATAATTTTAGATTTTAGATATTAAACTGTTTATTTCCTATTCGTCAAATATTAATAAATGTCATTCCAATTTTCGTTTTTGATTAGGTTTCTCTTTTGATTCGATATAAATGCATCGATTAAACATAATATATATACTTATAATTTGGTATTTGGATCTTTGAACGTAAGATATTACGCTTTCGTGTATTTCACAAGCATCCTGTTTTCTTGAATTTAATCAAACCAGACAAACTGTTAAAAACTCTGAAAATCTTACTTTTCCCAAGTGGTTAAACCACAAATCAATTCCTCCCAATTTACTCAAGAATTAGGTTAGGCGGTGGCATTTCAGCTGTAATAGCGACGTGCTTCCGACAAACTGCGTCGATATTGCTGTTAAAAAATCTGATTGTCGGCAAGTTAGCCAAGATCTCCCCATGCCTAATTTCATCTCCGTACGACAATAACTGATCACATCAGGGTGGCCAACCCGCGGTCCGCGAGCTGCATGCGGCTCTTTTTGTAGGTATGTTACAAAAAAATTAAAGTTCATCCGATTTAAATAAAAACTGCACCAGTGGATAGATCTAAGTGAAAATAAGAAAACAACACCAAGTTTGCGAAAAATGGTCAAGAATTAACGGAGATATCTGCATTTAAGTACCGCCCGATAGGCCAATTTTTTCCATAAGGATTGTATTGTGCCGACTCAAAAACTGTGACCGCGAGAAATGTCAGACCGATAAACAGCAGAATGTATCTCGGCTATTTTTGGAGGTAATGGAAAAAATTTTGAACGAAAAGTTATTGTGAATAGAAGAACCTAATGCAAAAAAGTTTACAAATTCTTTTTAACGATATTAGCTGCTTTTCAATTAATTATGTACGAGAAAGTTTCTGAACTTTACATAACCCTCTGGTCGGCAACGACTTTCCCAATACGCAAGTCCCCGCATACGCGGGCAATTAACTGATTTAGCGTTTTTCATATCCGACCTTAATGAACGATTATTATCATTTAATATTCCTTAACTCGTAGGAGATTTACCGCGCTTAGTGAAACGCTAAACGAGAGAAATCGCTGCGAGGAAAAATGTCGGCATTCAGTCGATAACTGATGCGCGTTGACAGACGCGTGCTAAGATCATACTTCTCGTGCCTTGAATTAATTTGTACCGTTTCGTAAACGTATGCGAATAGACTTTTTTCAATAAGAACTTTAATAAATATGATAAAAACACACATATAAATCTTTAATTTTTTGATGTGCGTCACATCTAAGAAAATTCAGATTACTTTAGAATTTTATTTTGGCAACGATCATTGAGGCCGTCGGAAGATCGTCGCAAATCAACCATGGAGTTGAGCATATTAGTTTGACCAATGACATTAAACAACATGATAGGCAACTCTGACGTCACTCCATAAGACTACAGGCAAAACATTGTATTTCATGATACGCTCCAATGCACATATTTCTCGTCGCCTTTCGCGTCCGTTTTCCGCTCGCTCTTGCTACTCGGCGTCTTTTTTACGTATAGTACCTGCCTTTTTGCGCCTGTAACGGAACAAAATAATCTCTATATCTAAGAAGTTTTGCTTAATTGGAAAGCTGGAATAACAGGCAAGCTGTAAAGAGCAATTCTGGACATCATAGACGTTTTTTTTTATCAGAGAAGATTACAAACGCGATAGCGGAAAGATTTGTGTGGAACATTTTGCAGATAATGACAAAGTTCAAAGTTAGTAATTTTAATGTTTGCGCTTAATCATTGAAATTTCATTTAAATACAAAGTTTGCACCTATCGAACTTGCTTTTGTAGGTGAATTTATTAGACATATTACATATTCAGTTAATCGTAGGTAACATTGCTGGTACATAATGCATCGTAGATAGGTTTGTTTAAATTTAGGAATTTAGCTCATAGCCCACTAATTAATATTATCTTCTATGCAGGAGGTTGCAGGGCTGAATTCAACTTGCAGCCTTACCGATCACCTGACGATGCTCATTTAGTTTGGCTCGAGCAAGTCTTCTTGAAATGCTTGTGTGGATGGAAACTACCTATATTTTTGCCTTCCTCCGATTTTAGACAAATTTATTCTGAGGGATTTCGCATATAATTCTCACTGATTGTTGGCTGTTTATAATTCCTATTGATTGTGAATTCTGATTATAACAATGAGTTGAAAATTTTTTTACCTAATTTACTGGCACCTTTTTCTTGTCAATACTCCAAGCTGAGGTAATAAACATGACAATACATTTATGTCATCTGGAAGCAAAATATGCACACTAATTAATAGTTTGGCACATTGAGATAATACATCATGACAGAAAATACAAGTTAAAGATATGTATGACCATCACATGGTAATTAAAATTAAAAAAAATTAATAGGGGCTGTGGAGTATGGAAAGTTCAAGACAAAGAAAAGAACAAATGTTCATAGCTCATGAACTCTCAATTTTGCCTCCATTGCTTTGTGAAGGCCAATATATTCGAGTGGCTGAATTGGTTTACCTTTATGATAGCAACGATTTTGTATTTAATATAGCGAGATTATTTCAATTTAATTGAAGTGATATAATTTCCCAAAGCAATGCTTGAATCGTCTAGAATAGATCAGTGGTGTCAAACTCATGGGTTTTCGAGAGCCGCATTGCATTTTGAAAATTGTAAAAAGAGCCGCAAACAGTTTTTGATAATGTATACTTAAAAGATATTTTTAAGATAGTTTTAGTTTGTGACATATATTGTGATGCAACTAAACAGTTGGATTAAGTTTTATTATTTTCTTCAATTTCAAATGCAATTACATATTAATATTTGCATTCCACTATTATTGCAACATTTGCAAGTTACAGTATTTATTATAAAAAATCGTAAAATTCTATGTACAACCATCAAAATCATTTTTGAACAAGCTTTGAATAAGGAAAGAATAATACATACACTAAAAATAACTTAATCTAAATATATGAACCTAAAATTAACAAAAATACTACAGTATAAACTCAATGTTTTAATAATTACATTTGTCCTGGCGTTTGGCATCTTTTTTGTGTCACCAGCATACTAAGGCCAGTCTGAAATGATTTTATAGTACCAACTCTAACTAACGAGGCCACATGATCATGGGTTTATCTGGATCTTTACGAATGTTTAATTAATTCCAGTAATGCAAAAAAGTTACTTTTATCATTTCATGTATAGATCAGTAAAAAAACAAATGACAGATTTTTTCGACAAGACATTTCGCACTACATTGCGTGGCATAGGATTGCTTGAATTATTATTGATATTGATTTTTAGTAACTAAGTCGTTGTATAATTATATTAATATACAAACACATGGAAATTTTCTGTTCGAAGTTGGTCTTCGAATTTGTCATATTGACTGCTGAGCTTATTGTGTTTTTTGATTGTATTGATGGAAATATGACAAATTAAACAATGTGCTTCAGAATTTTGTGAAGAGCAGAAATGTTACAACTCCCATTTTCTTCGAAAATGCCACCTTCTTCATGTACTTTGCGTTTAATTTAATTACTCAAGTGTTTTATTCAAGTATTCTTTTGCTAGCTTGATGTGTATTCTTAATTGGGTCAAAATGTGGACAAAAAAAATTAATATTCCAAAACTACTTTCAGTAAATTGTTTTGTGTGAATAATCAATTTCACTTTAGAAGGTTTGAAAAATCTATTACATTTAGATAAAAAAAAAACTTCCAAAATACTATTACAATTATTGTTAAGCGTTCGAGGGCCGCACTGGAAGTTCTCTGGGGCCGCGAGTTTGAGATCCCTGGTCTAGATTGAAGTTGTTCAAAAAATATATGATAGTATTTTATCATGAATGATGATTATACCCCTTCCGGAATTTCTTCTATAGTACTACCAAAAGTTGATGAACCAAATATAACACAGGTGCAGTGAGGTACCCGTAATCCTCATTTCCAAAGCTGTTTTAAGTATGTCTGGCGTGTTTTGTGCCTTTTTACAAATAAGACCGCTTATGCAATCTTACGCTTTGGAATTTTTAGTTATTTTCCTCAAGCCCTGCAGGATGTGGGGCCATACACAACTCTACCGGAGGGTCAAATGTCTTTGCATGCCTCCATAGGTTGTTTTTCTATTGCAATTTCTATTTTCAATGCATATTTCTTGGAATCACACTGTCACTGATATGTCGCCAGACTTCTGATATCTCCCCGT